CATTACATTATTCTTCCTTGTTCTCAATCTCACCAACTAATACAGGTAGTAGGAAATCTGCTTTGAAAATGTTTAGCAGGAGAATTTCATTCCTACTAGATAATTTACTGGTCTCAGTTTACTGCAAAGAAAGCTCACTGGAAAAATCCCGAAGTACCATCTCTAGGGCCCATACAAATCAGTCCTGATTCAATCCGGGTCCTCATTTTACCCACCTCGGAAGGATGGAAGGCTGAGTCAACCCTGAGCCGGTGAGATTTGAACAGCCGAACTGCAGAACTGCAGTCAGCTGAAGTGGCCTGCAGTGCTGCATTTAACCACTGCGCCACCTCGGCCCCCTTGGCCCGTCAGATTATATGGGGCAGCAGACTAGGAACCTTCCATTCCACCCCTCCCCTTGCAAAGCCCATCATCCACTTCCTTTCCCAAGGAGAAGGGGGATGGACGGCTTCAACCAGAGGACGGCCCAGCCAAGGCCGAAGCTGCGGATCCTCGCTGCCCGGCCGGCCTCGAAACTGAGCACGGGTCCCTCATGGTGTTAAGTGGTCAGCGGAGCCAGGCCGGTGGGGGTCCCTCTGCTCCACGGCAGATGCTGGTGGGGGATTCGCAGACTATCAACGCATCCGAGCAGCTCCTGGCAGACAATTATCAAGGTGGGCAGGAGGACGGGGGAAAGCCGCAGGGCACTTTCACCAGAGAAATGGTGTTGCTGAGAGGCAGGGCAGGTGACCGGCGGGAGGAGGGGAAATGAGAAGCGGGTGGGAGAGCTGGACCAAGGAGCTGGGACCCTGGGACGGAAGAGCGGTCAATCTGGGCAAAGGGTCCTTGGCAGCATCTCACTGGTCAGTCTACTGCAAGGGTAGGCAACGATGCCAACTTTATGACCTGTGGACTTCAACTCCCAGAATTCCCGAGCCGGCTTTGCCCCCCCACCCCCCGCTCCATATGTCCAAAACTGAGTCTGCTGATTGGCTGAAACTCTGGAGATGGGAGGGACCGTCTTGGGGGCCCCTCCACCTCTATGGGGAAGCCCAAGACCAGCAAAGCACTTCCTCCCCACAGATCCTGGGTGCCCAAACCCCCTCACGCCCCTCCCATTCCAGCCCTGTGGGGACCCTCACTCCACAGGCTGTGGGCGGGGGGTTCTTGCTGCTTCTCACTCCCCCAACCACCGAAGAGGGGGGGGAAAAGAAGGCTTAAAGGGCCACTCACTGCGATGGAGACGGCACTGACCACGGCCCCCAGGTAGCCCTGGATGAACTTGGAGGTCGGTGACGGCTGGGAAGGGGGAAGAGGAGGAAGAGGAGAAGAAAGAATGGAGGGAAATGAATCAAGGAGAGAAGCGACCTGGAACCAAGGAGAAACTTCCTAACCGTGAGGACAATTAACCAGTGGAAGAGAAATTGCCTTCAGAAGTTGTGGGAGCTCCATCACTGGAGGCTTTGAAGAGAATACTGGACAGCCCCCTATTTGAAATAATATGAACTCTCCTGCTTGAGCAGGGGGTTGGACTAGAAGACCTCCAAGGTCTCTTTTAGTTCTATTGTGATTGATTAAAGGACGGCAGCACCTGAGATCACAAGCAGGAAACGAAGACCCTGTGTGTGTGTGTGTGTGAGGGTTAGGCAAGCCCCTCCCCAGCCCTTTGTCTGCAGCCCCTGAGAGCCCCCTGATGAAAGTGGAGAGCTCTTCCCAGCCCCACTTGGGGGGCCTGTGGGCAGCAGGGCCCCACCCGAAATCCTCTGGCTATTCAGCTGGGCACTCTGGGGCCGGAGACCCAGCAGGGCGGGAGGGGAGGCCGGCTGCTACCATGGCCGGCCTCCAGCAGCTGGGCGGTGGGCCCTTGGAGGAGGGGCAGAGGGGCCCCTTCAGAGCTGGCAACGTGCCAGGAGGCCCTGACCTTCCCGAGGGACAGGCAGATGCTGTGCCCAGCCCAAAGGTTGGCAGAGGGGTCTCGAGTGCCCTGGCATCCGGACCTCTGGCCAGGGGGTGATGTGCTGACCAGTCCCAGCCGCTGGAGCTCTCCCTGCACCCCAGGAGGGTGATCTGGGCCGGGGGAACCAAGCCGGAGACCCCCCCAACCCCCCCCTCCACCTCACCTTGGTTGCGTTCCGGTTTGCATAGTTGACGCAGGCGTTGTGGCTCTGGTTCAGCCACTAAGGAGAAGGGGGGGGAGAGAGGGAGGGAGCCCTGGTTAGAAGGCAGCGGGGGAGAGGATCAGCACACGCACCAGGCCGACAGTCCCCGGGGGGGGGCAGAACCTCTACGGGGGGTGGGGGGAATAGGAGGGGGCTGAGCGGCCAAAAGTAGCCCTTCCAGGTGAGCCGGAAAAAACTCTTTCACCCCCCCCCCCACGCACGCAGGAGAGGCCCTGGCTCTCTCAGAGAAACCAATCAAGAGACGGGCGCAGAAGGGGGGCAACCTTCATGAAGGAGGACAGTTGGCAGAGTGTGAGGTGTGGCACAGGGGACGAATGAATGAATGAAGGGCCTGGGGAGGAGGTGCTTGCTTGAAACCCGCGGCTGGCAGAGGCTCTTTCTCCAGCCGATGTTGGCCGCAGGCTCCTTACCTGCCAGAAGATGGTGGAGGCCAGGGTCTGGTTTGGCAGTAGAAGACCCACCACCTGCGAGAGGAAAGGGGGGAGTTCAAAAACAAGGAAGGTGCAAACGCCAGGCAGGCTGAGCCCCTCCGGGGGGCCCCCAAGGCTCCCTGGGCATAAAAGGGAGGTGGGCCTGCCACCTGCGAAAAGGGAGGGGCTGTTTTAGCCCAAAGGAAAGGGATTCCCCAGGCGGTCGTAAGCCGAGGACTGTCTGACCCTAGATCAGGGGTCTCAACCTTGGCCACTTTAAGCCTGGTGGACTTCAACTCCCAGAATTCCCCAACCGACAGGTCAGCAAGGAAGTCTCCCGGGCTTAAAGAGGCCAAGTGGGAGACCCCTCCCCTGATTCTTTTCCTTGAGGGGCAGGTGGGTCCTGAGGGGGGGCGGCAGGGAGCGGAGAGAAATGAGTGGGAGAGAGGGGGGAGAGACGTGGGCGAGGGGCTGCCTGCAAGAGGCACGCTGAGAGTCATCCCTCCGTCTGGGCCAGGGGCTGCCAAGAACTGCGGCTTCCTTGCTTGTTCCTGGCGGAGAGGAAGACAACAGAAGAGGCAGAAAGGCAGCCATTCCAAGCCCCCCAACCCCTCCCCGCATTCGTGGATCTCCCCGGAGACAAAGGCTTCAGCCCTGCTTGGCTTCAGAGGCCTCCGGCACTATGGGCGAGGCAGGCTGAAATTCAACCGGCGGGGCTTTCTGCCTTGCTGACACCTTGTGTGGCCCATGCATCTGTGGGACCTGCCCCCCCCTCCCCGGCCATGAATGGAGGATCTCCCAGGGCTGCCCTTGGGGGCCACAACACAGGAAGCTTCTGAGGGGGAGGTCAGCTGAGGCCAGGAGCCTGGACGATTTTAGCTTCACATCTGCTTCAACTGGAGCTCCGAGGAGGGGGGAGAAGGAGGAGGAAAAAGAAAGGAGGAGGAAGAAAGAAGGAAGGAGGGAAGGAAGGAAGGAAGAAGAGGAGGAAGGAAGAAGAAATGAAGGAAGAAAAGGAAGGAAGATGAGAAGAAGGAAGGAAGGAAAAGGAAAATACAAAAGAAGAAATGGGAAGGAGGGAGGGAGGAAATAAAGGAGAATACAAAAGGAGGAGGAAGGAAGGAAGGAAGGAAGGAAGGAAGGAAGGAAGGAAGGAAGGGAGTTCCCAGCCTCCATCCATCCTCAAAACCCTTCCTTCCTTCCTTCCTTCCTTCCTTCCTTCCTTCCTTCCTTCCTTCCTTCCTTCCTTCCTTCCTTCCTTCCTTCCTTCCTTCCTTCCTTCCTTCCTTCCTTCCTTCCCAGTATGCTCAGTTGAAAACTCAGACAGGGATTGAGAAAGCTGCCAATTATGTCACTACATTTCACAGATCAATTGGCATAAATGTTAAAATTAAAATGTAACATTTAAAATCATTTTTTTTTTTGCTTTATGACAAGGGGTTCCAGTTTATCGTTTACAGCTTGCGAAACGGAGCTCCGCTGACAGCTCTCAGTTCCTCTGACAGGCCTGGATTTGGGCCGATTCGGGTGTCAACCTGATCGCTAACTCAAATTTGTGTTTAACTTTTTGCAAAGTTAATTACAGATTACCACCCAAATGTTAAACATAAATAAGGACACCTTTCCCCTCTTTACGCTGGGAACCCTGCCATGCCTTCCTTCAAGAGATCATTACTGCGAGGCCCATATGTCTCCTGCAATGTGGCCAGAACGCTCCCCAAAGAGACGGCAGAGGGAGGGGCGGCCCCCCGGGAGGAGAATGGAGGCAACGGGGGGAAGCCAGTGCTTCCCCCGGAAGGAGGCGAGGGCTGCCCAAGCACAGGCCTCCCCACAAAATGGCAGCCAAACGCTGCTGAACGCCGCCTCTCTGGCCGCAGGCTCCTCCTCCTCCTCCTCCTCCTCCGTCCCTGTCCCCGGCGCGGCCTCTGCTCTCTCAGCCAGCCGTCCTGTTCCCTGGTCCTTCGCCCCCCAGTAGCAGCCATGCTGGAGGGAGGCAGAGGGCAGCCCACCCACTTCAGCTGGGCCCCAAAGAGGGACGGGGTCTTTGATGTGCCCAGCCAGACCCCAGGGCCATCTGGGGGCCCCAGGCAGCCTAGTAATGCAACGGCAAGCAGACAAGGGCCTCCGGGAACGGGGGGGGGGGGGGGGCTTCCTGGTACGTAAGGAGCCCATGAGTGACGTCCCGACTGAACCAGAGAACTGGAAGACAAAGCTAAGAAAGGCATTTCTTGCTAGGCAGAGGGAAGGAGTGAAGGTGCGAGGCTTTCACACTTACAATAGGCGTGCCAAAAGGAATGTAACCTAGGGAAAAAAGAAAGGCATCTTTTGAGAGCCAGGCACTCCCCCACCCCCCAAGAAGAGTTGCTGGATGGGGGCTGCAAGAGCTCAGGTGAGCACTGGGGGGCAGCACAGAGACGTTCCACCTGGGCCATCTAATGGCCGGCCAGAGTTCTGCAGCCAGGATTCCCAAGTGGGGGGGGGGGGGTAAACCAAAACCTCCAGAACGCCCAACCAGGTGAGGAATCCTGGGAGTTGTAGTCCAGACACCCAGAACCTGTCGGGTGAGGGAAGGCTAGCTCTTATAGCTATCCCTTTAGGGAGCCCACTTTCTCCCACGCGAGAAGCCACAGAGCATTCCCACAAGGGCAGGGTGTGAACGTACAGGCACAGGACCCCCCAGTTGAGGAAGGTCAGGTGGGCTCCTTGACCTCCTTAGCCCATCGAGGCCACCTGAAGGGAATCCTGCGGCCATCAGAGCCCTCTGGGCGGGTGGCTCTCCCTGGCTGGCCCTCTGGGATCTGACCCATTCTCTTCCTCCTCACCTGCTTGCTCATTTACAGTGGGAGGGGGGCGAGGAAGGTGGAGCCCCCCCCTCCTGGGACTGGGCTTTCCCCCGAAGAATTCAGCTGGAGGGGGGGGGGCACGGAGTGGCCGAGCCAGGCACTGACCGCACAGAGAAGCACCAAGGATTGGAGAAGGTGAGAGCCCGAAACCCAGCCGACCCCCCTGGGCCCATACCTGACATTCGGAAAGGCATGAAAATGGTCTCGTTGGTGTCCGGGTGGATGATGGCCTAGAAAAGTAGGAGACGCCGTGAAATTGGAGGCAGCTTCCCCGGAAGCCCCCCCCACTCCCCCCCCCCCAGCAGAGCAGGCAGGGAACAGCCCCAGGTGAGCTGATTCTGTTTCATGGCGAGGCTCCAGTCTTGCAAATGTGGGGGTTCAAACCGCCCGCTGCCTCTTTTACAGACTGGGAGGTTCAGGCAGCTCAGTTCTAAGAGCCAAGGTGGCGCAGTGGTTAAATGCAGCACTGCAGGCTACTGCTAGATCAGCAGGTCAGCGGTTCAAATCTCACCGGCTCAGGG